CCTGTGGTCGACCGGCTAGAAACACAATTTTTTAGTCCTGTAAACAACACACTTTCGGTCGACCGCGTGATCGTGGCCGGTCAACCGACCTGAACAGGGTTTCGTACCCTGTATTATGCACGAAATCGGTCGACCGGCCTATGCCGTTCAGTCGACCGACCTACAACCAAACTATATATGTTGATTTTTTTACGTTTTCTTCAATTCTTTCGTTGTTTTCAACATGTGAACATTTAGGATCATTTTTTGAGAGAGTATACTTTTTCTGGTAGCATAATTTGAAATTTTTACAATGAATTTTTTTGAAAGAAAATAGATTCATGCAACATGGCGTGAGTGTAGAAAAAATATCAATTTTGTCAATGCCAACTAAATTAGCAAGCAACCATAGAAAATTTATTCAAATCCTCTTCAATTAGGTGGTAATTACAGAGGATCCATTTCTTTTAATATTTACCATCTATCTTTTTTAAAGAATGAGATCACGCCACTTAAGATTTCCACTATTAAAAATGGTGGTTCTGACTATAATAGTTTTCAAGTTTACTAGCGATTATCAAGACGATATGATTTTCAAGATAACAATAAAAATATTACATGGTGTAATCTCAATCATTGAAAGTTATAATTGATGGTGTGGATTGAAAGAATTGGATCCTCTTCAATCACTACTTAATTAGAGAGGATCGGGATCCATAAAAATTATTTTTTATCTAAATAATAATTGCATTGGTATCAAATATACAAGTTTATCGTATGGATGCTATATTTAAGCCTCTAAACTTTGGATTCTCTCCACTTCATAAAAAAGTGGGGAGACGACTACTTTTAGTCCCATTGTTAATTATCTAATTAGTGATTGTGATGCATTCTAAGTTTAACGCTTACACTCAAAGGAAAATAAATTATAATCACTTACTAGATAATTAATTTTTGTGATTAAGTAATGATGTATCCACTATTTTTTTGGAAGTGGAGAGGATCCAAATCCCTAAACTTTACTATTTCTCCATAAGACAAAAAATTAAAACAAAAAACCAACATGATTTTACTCATGGAGACATCTGAAATATTTTAATATATTTTATGATAAAGGTAAAATATTTCAGAACCCATTTATAATAAAAAAAAAATAAAAAATAATCAAGATATTTAAGTATGTCCAATGCATGTGCATCCCAGCCTAATCTAATATACATACAAGAATATCAACTTAATCCCGTGCATTGCACGGGTGACACCTAGTAATTATAATATAGGGGTATATATGAAAACAAAACGCTAGAATAAAACAGAAGCTTTATATTCGCCTAGTAAAATCGAGCAGGTTTTGGGCATAAAACATCAAGATCATCTACTTCTTCGAAGGAAACCCTAAATTTTTCTACCGCCGTTCGTCTCTTCTTCGTTCTCTCTCCCAGGTATCGACTCAAAAATTTCACCTTTTCTTCTCTTTATGCTGTTATTTTCGCTTAGATTTCTGATCCATGAGGTCAGATGAAAACCCTAGTTTCCTTTTGTTCTAAATTCTTTTGATTTCGCTTAGATTTCTGATCTATGAAGTTAATGACCGATGCATTAATTGTCAGAAGAACTAGTACTACTATAAATCAGAAAATTTCTCTCCTTTATCAAAATCTGCTGTTTTAATGTTGCATGTAATGCAAGGGATACCTGGTTTGGTACCAAACAAGATAATTGATGATAAGTAACATGAAGGTGGTTTGATGAACAAATTTGGTATCTTTTGTAGAAAATTGTAGGCTGATCTGAAAAAAAGCATGGTTGCAGTTATTTCCATTATTCTTATTGATTTTGGATCACAATTTGGTAAAACAAGAAGGAGGTTATAAAATAATTTTTAATAACTATCTATGTCTAGTTGATGTTCGTAGTTGGTTGGCAGGACACACTTGTCTATTGTGTGAACACTCGGCTTTAGCCTTTCGAACCATTCTTACCTAATTCATACTACTCACTTAAATTCTGGATCGGTTCCGATGAACTGCTTCATGATGCCTCACCCCTCTTGTCGCTAAACTTGGTGATGGAGCTAGAGGAGAGTCTCGAAAAATAAGTGATCGACTTAGTTATTTCCACGTCTTAACCCTTTTCTCAGAAAAATAAATAAATAAATAATTGCTGTTACAACATGCCTGGACACAGCTGCTTGTCTTTCCATGGCAAGACACATATTAGTCATTTGCTAGTTGCGTCAGAAATTATTATAAGATGGAGTATGATATACCTCTTTTGGAAAAAATTATTATTATTTTACAGGTCGTTTCACTGAACTGGGTTCTTTCATATATGTATAGTAATAGATTTGGATACCTGTGATGCCATATGAACCAAATTATGCATATATACCCACAAAAATATACATATAGGGCTGCACCCATTTGTCTGGAGATTAAAAAACTTCCATGCCCGACATCCCTTGCCTGTATTGGAGTACAACACTTGATTAACTTAATGTTTGGATTGAGGGGAATAAGGGAGAAGGGAAGTTAGGGGAACCATTCACCTTCTTTGGGAACATTTAGGATGTGAAGTTATTCACCCTAGTTCCCTTTGGTTCACCCCTTAATAGTATAAAATTTGTTACCCACTAAATTGGGGTGTAACCAAGGGGAAGGGAACTCCCTTCCTTTCCCTTCCCTTCTCTCACCTAGTTTCCCTTAACTTCCCTTAACCCCATTGAAATCCAAACACACCCTAAGACTACTATTTGTAGTTTTCTCTAACATACAATTTTGTTCAAAGCCTATTTGGCTTTTTTTGTTTGGAATTTGGATATAATCGGAACACAACATTAAACTTTTTCATTGAAGGACCAAAATGTGTTTGTTATTTTTATTATCTTGGGAGTATAGATAATGTAGTTCTTCTTTTCAAGTCCCAAGAAGAGGTCGCTTTTTAAAATTCATTAATTCAAGCCTGCATTGTGATGCATGTGAACAGCAGGTTGTAATGTGTTCTTTACATATTTCACATTTTTTATGTTTCAAACCATCATAAGGAATATTGTTCTTAATCAAATGTAATCGACTCCATATTTACCAGGCTTGTGCTTAGAGCCTTAGAGTTTTCTTACGTTTTCCTTGGCACTCTGCGAAAGACCATCTCCTATTTAAAACTTAAATGTGCTCCGCGTTAAGTATTTTTTAGTTTGCAATTCCAGTTTTGTATCATGTTTTTTGTTGTATATGTCAGTATTCAAATTTGTAATATATGTATTTTCCTTTACCATGTTTTATTTCTTTTTTTAGGAAAAGCTTGATGGCTGGAAGAGGACGCATTCCTCGTCAAGCTTTTGATGATGGAAGGCGTGTTTATCCTGAAGGACCTTTCAGTCGTGGCCCTGTTCCACGCCAACCTCCCCCTGCACTTCTTGAAGAACTTGACATGCAACAGCATGAAATCCATAGGCTTGTAACTGATAACCGGAGGCTTGCTG